GGTCATTTTTTTTTCCTTATATGATTGTGTATATTAAAAAAACTTAAAAAAATCTTCTTTGAAAAAAAACTCAAATAGCTAGAGTTTAGATATCAAGCACGAAGCATCCTTCTAGTGAGTTTCTACAAAGTTTGTTCAAATAAAAGCCCTGGGGTCAAAATTGGCCCCGCCCCGGGGGACATTGATTTTCCTTATATGTGTATAGCAAAAACTTAAAAATCTTCTTTGAAAAAACCCGAATAGCTAGAGTTTAGATATTAAGCATGAAACATTTTTCTAGTAAGTGTCTAACAAGATTGTTCAAAATGAAAGCCCTTGGGTCAAAAACTGGCCCTGCCCCAGGTGTGTCATTGTTTTTAACTATATGTGTAAAGAAAAAACTTGACCAGCTTGACCTTAGATGTAATGGGTGTCAACCAAGTTTGTTCAAATAAAAGCCCTGGGGTTTAAACTGGCCCCGCTCCGGGGGCCTATATACAGGTGAGCGACTTCAGGGCCATCATGGCCCTCTTGTTTGAAACAGTATTCGGAAAATGACCATATTGGATTTATCATTAAATGGGATTCTATAAAGTAATCATATCAATTACCGTACTTAATGTACCATAAAACGGGAACCTCTTAAGCAAAGGAGACCCATAATGTTCCATATATAAGCAACCATTCAAAGGACTCTTATGATATCATTTAATGGAACTTTTTGAGGAACAAAATAAAGAAATGTCCATCATCCTCAAAACATGGGTACCGGTATGGTACATTATCTGACAGTTTATATGAAGGACTCTTCAAATCTTCAGAAATAATAATGAGATCTGAGTAGATGCAATAACTAAATTAGATATTAGAATAACTAATATATCGTCAAGGGCGATCCTATTATGAAACCAGAAGATCCAGAAAAGGTACTATACTTGATGAAACATAAAACGGGATTCTATTAAGTAACCCGGCTACCAAACAATGTACCGTTGTATATGTGAGATAAAACGGGGTGCAATTAAGGCAAAGGGGATCCGGTAAATTGTTACATATAAACAACCAATCCAGGGAGTTATAGAGCAACTTGGGTATAAGACAGAGTACTTTATTTTGAAATATCTTTATAGGGATCTTTTGGAACAAAGGAAAAGAAAACGTCCTTCATATTTCTTAACCTGGGAACCAATATGGTATATTTTCTACATGTTATATAAAGTGCTCCTCAAAAATAACAAGGATATCAGATATAATGACATAATTAAAGGACTACGTACCGAAGGGGATCCTTTTAAAAAACCTGGAGATCAGGAAAAGAACCATTCTTTGTGTATCATAATACGAGATCGCATAAAGAAACACGGGGATTAGATAACGGTACTGTACTTGATGGAACATGAAAATAGATCATATAAAGTAGCAATGGAATCAGATAAAGTTTTGATGCCACATAAAGCGGGATCCTATAAAATTATAGGGATACGGTAAATTTCCTCATATGATTAACAATTACAAGGATTTTTATATACAGTTAGTGAGATATTTGGTAAAGTACTTTATTTCAAAATATCATTATAGGAATCTTTTGGAGAAACAAAGTTAAAGAATCCTCATTTTTCATAACATGGAAACCAGTTTGGTAAGCTATGTGACAATTTATATAATTCAAGAAACTCTTCAAAAAATAATGAAGGGATATGATAAAATGCCATTAATAAAGGATTATCAAAGGGAATCCTATTAAGAAACCAGGAGATACAGAAAAGTACCATACGTGATGTATCGTAGAACAGAATCTCATATAGTAACCAGATAATCCTTTTAAGTACCCGGGATATTATACAGCAAAAGGGTTCGGTGAAGTTCCTCATATACACATCCATTACGGCCTCTTATAGAGAAACTTAGGTATTAGGTATAGGTATGATTTAAAACGGGAACCTATATAGTAACCAGGGGATCAGAAAAAGTACATTACTTGATATAACTGAAGGCGAGGTCCTATATAGGCAAATGGCATCCGATCAAGTTTCACATTTTAAACAATCATTACACTGGCGATAAAATGGACTTTTTAGCCATCAGTTAATATATCATCCTAAATACATGTATATCCTTATAAAGATGTTGCAGATCCAGTAAAGTAACACACCTAAGTATGATCACAGAGATTCATATAAACAGGGGATATTGCAAAGTACCATATTTAATATATATTTACAGATTCATTATTGTGTAAACAAGGAATATGTACTTCTCAAAATAAAGTATAATTTAGGACAATTGTTAGACTGTGTTGTGATCATATAGCACTTTTACAGTGTTACTTTTGGAAGATGGCCTCAGATGCTCCTTTCTACTTTTTCCAGTGATAACTTTGCGCATAAGCAGAACCTCAGATGGTTCATACGCTCGAAAATTTCATACATGACAAAAACGAAAGACTGGTTGAAGTAAAGCAATCTGAAACAGGTACCACGAGAATCTTTGTAGTAAAATAGATAACAGTACTTGATATATTATAACTTAAATATGTATTGCTGCAATCTGGTTATAAAGAGATGCAATATGATATATACATGTACTTCCGGTGATACCTATGACATGGAATAAAAGTGGCAACTATTATTGTGTTCTTATAAATCTGGATACATACGATATAAGGACATAACATGTTATAGCTCTTCAAATGTAATTACTATAGTCACCAAATACTTTGATTAGAGTAATTAATGAGAGAATTCATCACAAGTTTTGCAAAATTGCGGCACATAACAAAATACACTTTCTGGTCAAATGTCCGAAAGATAATGGAAGCATTGTTACAAATTTAGATGTTACTTTTCTGGTTCTGATATTACACAGAATTCCCGTTTGCTGGATAATAAATGAATATGTTAGGTTAAAAAGAATAACGACAAAAACATATAAACTATACACATTTTTATTCACAATAAAAAATCTAAATGTTCAATGATTCGATCAATGTAACATATGCAGAGGTATTTCTTCTCAGAAATAATTATCAGATAAGATGCAGTTTGCAGTTTTGCAATTGCAGTTTTGACTTTGAAGGAAGAGTTCTGGGTTTTTCAAACGATATGTCATCTTTTTTTGTTAACAGTTCTGCCATAAACATTTGTGTCACCCCATTTCAAAATCACTTGATCAATGAAAAGTGGCAAGACACTAAATATAGCCTGTACCAGACCAAGTTAGGCTTTGAGCTGAAAGTGTGACCTTGACCTTTAAGTTAGGGTTTCAGGAGTGGTATTCCTATTATTGTTTACACTTGTGCCAAATAATTTCTAAATTCGTTGAACATAAACATGGCATTGTTCTATACAAAATAATATAACTTGTCTCCATATCTTCCATAGCTTTCCTCTTTCAAATTCCTGTGATCTGCTAAAATAAAAAAGTATACAAATTCAGAATAAAGGATCTTTCTGAAAAAAGTATATATAGGCTTAAAATATAAAACAGACCGAACTCAATGAAAGAGCTTACAGTATTTACTCTGTATTCAGTTCTTCATTTTAGTATTACTAATTTCCAAGTTCCAGGAAAACATGCTTTAATTAATATGCAAAATATACATTTTAGCCAAATGCAGTTAAACACCACCTTGTCAATGTTTTGATGAAAAGAAGAATTGGACATTTATATATGTGTAGACCTATGTCACCAACTGAATATATTTAATCCTATACATAAACAATTTGAACTATTGCAAATGAACTTCACTTCAGTGAATTATTCACTGCAAAATCACTGCATGTAATTCATAACATCACTGAATGTAATACATAACAACAGAAAACTAGACAGATGTCTCTGATGGAAAGAGTAAATCTTTGTGGAAACATACATCTACTAACAGAAAATGTAAATGAAGATAGGTAGATCTGATTTTGTACGTTCCAGGTTTTGTGCTAGTCTAAAACTTCTCAATTCTGTTTTTATTTTCATTTTCCCTAATATTTGTAAATATGTTTATGTTTAAAACCATGAATAGTATTTTTACAGAAAAACATGCTACGGACTTATGAAAATGCATTTTAGCTCGATTTGAGTACATAAGACAAATGTGATATATTTTTATTTATTTGCCTGAGTATCCCTGTAATAAACATACCTTCATGTCATCAACTCTCAATCATCGCATTTTGTACCTCAAAATGGCAAGGACATGACCTCTACTGATGCATGTCCCTTAGTGAAGAATTGCACCATACAAGTCTGCTTTATCCTCTAATAGCTGTGAAGATAAATATTTCAAATGCAGATACCCAACCAAGAATTGCTATTGGTATATTATTAAAAACTTGAAAATTAAATAAACAAATTGTTTGCAAATTACAGATTTCAACAAATTATTTTATTTTAGTATTCTTATTGGCAGCTGAAATATATATATACAAAACATGGCATATATCGTATGGCAAGGCCACATTATCATGTTCGTAGGCCCTATTCTATTAAATGAACAAGAGGTTATTCATTATACATAAGGATAAAAAGTTTTTGCTCTTATAACGCTTTAAGTAATATAAAAACTGTCATAATGTGTTGTTTGAGATCCAAATGCAGTTGATGAAAACATCATTCAAGGAGGCTGTTATGTTCAATTTGTTTAAAACCATTCTCAAATTAGCACTTTACTCTTTTTTGGACGGGGCACACATACGGTTCAAGATGAATTACTTCCTGAACTGGTAGCTTTCTTCCATCCTTTGATCAGAATTCGAGAATCTAAACATGGAAGGAAAGGCACCATACGAGTAAATATCAACATATCATCGATTTCAATATCAGAATAAACAAATAGTAAAGCTAAAAATGTTTTAGCAGTTTAAACATTATCGAGTAGGCTCAAATTTCTTACAGACTGACAGACAGATAGACAGACAGACATAAGGTATTTATTCTTATAAACCCTTTCGAGATAATTGATCAAGCAAACTAAATACTTTATAGTTTAACAACAATGTTGTATGTCTATAGAAGTGTTACTTCAACCGTTTGCAACTAAATAAAAAAATTAAACCAAATTATTAAATCTAAATTTCTTCTTCAAATAAATAACCAAGATTTTATTTACTACAACAGCTGTTGATAAATACCTATAGAAAAGCAAACGAGAGCTGAAATTGTTTGTGACAAAAAGTTGAGTTAAAATCAGTTTTTAAATTTTATATTTTGATAATCAGAAACATACCTTTTAAAGTGGAAAACCACATTCTTTGGGATGTTGCGTAAGCTGGTCTTAATTTCAGCTGCAACAGTTTTCTTACATCTGAAACATTTGCATGAATGAAGTCATTGAAAAACAAGCAACCATCATAAAGTATTGCAAGCAATAAGTCCACTACCAGTTAGAACCCAAGCAACATTCTGAAGGCCAATTCGCCATCCAAATATGCCATTAAATGAATGAATGAATGAATGAATGAATGAATGAATGAATGATTGTAAATCTTTTGAATTCTTAGTTTGTCTGTAACAAAGTACTGTGTTATAAGTATCCCTTAACTTGTATACCAAGTTTCATTATGAAAAATGTTTGCAGTATTATTAAACTCATCTGACCTTTACCCATGTTGAAAACTCTTGAAAAACTTTCAGGACCACTATGTTTTAAAGTTATAGTTTTTGGTAAAAAAAACCTTAAAGGTCAATGTAATTCAGAGATCAAGGTCTTTTAGAGGCCAAGGTAATATCAATATATTTCACTGGAGGGTATTGTTTTAGGCCAAGTTTTAAATTATTACATTCTGTAAAAAAGAAAATATAGTAATAATATAAAAGGTTTCTGAGGCCATGATTGAAAGACGGACGGACAGTTCCTCCTTTGTGGACATATAGATATGTGCTTCATGTTCTCCATACTGTCTGCTATTTATATCTAAAGTTTTATAAACATATGTTCAGTTCTTTTTGAGTTATCACAAATATTGCTAATCTGTCCTATTTTAGGTCTATTTGTTGGCATAGCAATCAGAGTTTTCGTCACAGGCAAACATGACAAAACATGCACAATCTATATATTGCCATCTATCCATACTGCAAGTTTCATAAAAATATTTTCAGTACTTAATGCATTATCGCAGGATCCAGCTTTTTGTGGACGGACTGACGGCCTGACTGACGGATGGACGGAGGATAAACCTAAAGTTCCCTCCAGTAAACTGGAAAGGGGACTAAAAAAATTACCAGATAATTATATTATGATGACATATCACAATTGTTTTGTCTTGTAGGCACAATAAAGTCCTAAGCCTAAACAAAAGGAAAGAATACTCCTCTCGAAAGCTTTAATTCAGTTTTGAAATAAAATAATGAAGAGTTTTAACATACCAAGCATGTTCTTCACTATATTCTCTGGTTAGTGTAAACTAGGAGTCATTACAATAATCATTCAAGAGTATACTTATCGTAAAGCTTTATATAATGCCTTGGTGGCTTTACAGGATTCCTTATGTTTAAAGATTATATATACATGATGTAGTGCTTTTCAATTAATTACATGTTGTTATAAATCAGATATGGTTAAATTATCTGTTTTAATATATATCTAAAACTAAAAAACAGGCAAAAAATCTTCAACACATCTTAACCTCTTCAAAGTTCGACATGAAAAATAATACTGTTTCTAAATGCAACAAGAGTAGGTGTAAAACATGTCCTTTAATAGAAGGAAATAAAATACAATTTTGTAACAGTAAGACATTTAAGATCAAACAAAGTATGAACTGTGTTTCAAAACATGTGATATATTCAATAATTTGTGACAACTGTAAACAGTTTTATATTGGCCAAACAAAAAATGAATTATGTAAACGTATGACTTTACATAGGCAGCAAACAAACACAGAAGAACTCAGAATGTTGCAAGTCAATAAACATTTACATAATTGTTCAGGAGGTAAATTTAACATTTTCCCTCTGTATAAACTATTAAACGAAAGTGACTCTTTTAGAGAAGAAAAAGGAAGACTTCTAATCAAATTATTAACTCATTGATAATGCCTGTGTAACAAGTTATTTATATATAGGTACATCATAGTTATTACAATCTCTTCATTTTTTATTATGAAAGAAACGCTTGCGTTTTTTATTCAGTCATATTGTTCGTTTATTAACCAATATTTATTCAGTAAAAATTGTTAATTACCATACACTTTGTGGCCATAAAATAATTAACATGGGAATTGATTACCTCCCTTTAAAACATGTCATTAATTCACTGCCAGATTGTACGGATTATGCTAAATGTCCGTAATATTATAATTTCACAGCTTATTATTATAATATTGTGTTTGCCGGAAGCATTGAAAAAGATGCACCTCATGCACTCCGTCCGAAAACTGTAACTTCGCCAAAAATGGTTGAAAAGTAAAGGAATCGATTGCTACTGATGCAAGATTTACAACTTGGTATATAGCTTAATGCGTTGGTATCTCTGTAGGAGTTGCTGATAAGATTATTAGACGTGAATTAAAAATGAGAAGGATAAGTACCAGATGGATACCCCATCTCCTTACAAAAGAGCAAAAAATTTGCTCGGGTAAGAATCTCCAAACAATTGCTGAATACAACAATCAATCCTTCTCAAATATCATCACAGGCGACGAAACAGAGACGTGGGTTCACTTTTGTGAGCCCAAACGAAAGATACATAACAAAATATTGGCAATCAAAGGAAGTCAAAGACCTTGCATAGTCAAATTCACCATGAGCGTCCAAAAGGTCATGTATGTCATTTTATTTACCAATCAAGGTCCTGCTATTCAAATTGCCGTACCATAGGGTAAATCTGTAAATGTTAAGTTTTACGAAGGCAAGGTCCTAAATTTAAAGAAATATTTCAAAAACCGTCGGTCAACAACTGGTCTCCGTGGTGTCAGATTGTTGCATGACAATGCTCCATCACACAGAGCGGCCATTGTATGATAATATCTGAAACAGGAAAAGGTTGTCGAGCTTTCACACCCACCGTTTTCCCCAGATCTTTCCCCTTGTCACTTTTTGTTATTTAGGAGGTTTAAAAAAAACACCTTGCTGGAAGAAAATATCAAACGCAAAAAGTTTCGGTTGGGCTATATTCCAGTGTCTGAACAGAATACCTCAAAGATTATAAAAACGCATTTAAGAAATAAAACATGGTGGCGGGTATTTTTGCTCTGTTTGTTAAGTACTTCTGAAAATTGACCAAGCTGCATTCATATTTGAACATTCCTCGTACTCTATCATATCCCCTGGTTCATCCTTAGGATCCCTCAATATGATTTTTCTATTTTTCTTTACATGATACTCTGCTAACTCAATCAGACCCCAGGTTGTTACAAAGAAGTATGTCTCTCTCTTAGATCCCCTCACTACTTTATAGTAGTACTATATTTTAATAAAATTTTTAAATGCACTTTCTGGACATATTAAATATAAATGATTGTCTACAAATCTATCCGCCATCTTTTGTCAGGTGGACATTTCAAATGTCTTTTGAACGTCTTCCACCTCATCTAATGTTGAACGTATCATTTGGAATACACTTAATTAAATTCCGGTCATAATCGACTCGAACTCGGAAAATGCATATTCATTAGCTTATGACTTTTCAGGATCCCTTCTTCCCTTTACCCAAATAACCTGTCCTCCATTACAGGACAAGGCCAGATGGCTCCTGCGATGTTTCCTAAACCATAGTCAGGCCTTTGACAAGCACAAACACGAAGCGATTTTACTGAGAGACATGAAAAGCAAAATTTCAGCAAAACATGAAGCGAGGCACCATATTCTACCGTGGAATCTTGTGATACGGGATGCTTTGGCATTGCGAGATCTCGTGTTACAATATCGTGCCTCGCCGTGTGTCTCGTCCAAATGTCGCGTCTCGCCCGATTCTGCGAGGCCCGATATTCCATAATTATGGCATTCCCCGGATTGATTCTTTTAGAAACCTATGTACGTTGTAAGTGCTTTTTCAACGGCGGATCTGTTAACAGCAATTTTCGGAAAATAGCGATACATTGGTTTTCTTTTTGATGAAAACAAAGTACGTGTTAGATGGTCTTCTCAATTTCTTCCTTAAATGATTTACGGGCCTCCGTGGCCGAGTGATTAAAAAAAAAACACTTGTCCAATACCACTGTAGGTTAGACAATTATTCGGGGCGTCGATCTATTCGTGCGAGGCACGTAATAGAAATCGCATGCGCACGCTAAACTATCCCTTAAGAACGTATATAGCTATCTCGCTCGCACGTAATAAATAAGAAAATTTTATACTATATGTAACCTTGGTGTTGCTTAGAATATTTCTTAAATCATTGATAAAACTTTCAGCATCGGAAAGAAACGTGTCTTATTAAAAAACAATAAGAATGGACTCGCTACATATGTGTTAGGGTTCTGGATACTGCACTGGTAGAAATTTTCATTGTGACATGCATAACTGTAATACTGAACATGCAAATTACTCAGTAAATAAATATCTAAATGACATATAAAGTTATTTTCCACATCACAGTTCATTAATTAGATTTACAAATAACAAGAAATATGTGATTTATCGAAATGACATGACCACTTAACCCATATGACACCAGTTATCTAAAATTAGAATATTTGTAACAAAGTACTTACTTGTCAAGCGTCGTTGTATTTAAGTCTTGAAAATCTTTGCTGGGTCACGATGGAAAAGTAAAAGATATGTCGGGAATGGAAGTGACATCATGTTAATGATGTCACTGCCTCATTAGAGGAATACTAAGAAGGTTAGGGTGAAAAGGAAATTATGTTCGACAATGCACGCATGTATGGTTATATCCACACCCGCTATACTGACTATCCAATTAAATGTTCGCATTTATAGATTTACAATAAGTGAACCAAAAATAAACTTTAAAATGATAATTTAGTTTCATTTCATGTCTTATCATTTTGAAGGTCAGTGTATAATCGGGGGGGGGGGGGTCACGCCGTTCGTAACCAAAACAAACAGCATGGCGAATGCAGCCGAAAAGTAAGTTTTTTCCTTTCTTCTCTGAAATTCGTGATGTTCTTGTGTAATAACTTTCTACACAATTTTCCTGCCACACAGGATTTTATTTCATGATGTTTCGTCCCGTATTTCATCTGAAATGCGCGTAACCAGATTCGAAGCGATAGAATATTCCACCGGTCTGATCGTGGTAACGTACGGCTTCTTCTCTCAAATTCACTGTTTCTTTTATATATATGTATATTAACTGAAACCACTGACTTTAAAAAGTTGTAATATGTTGTCAAGTAAGCATCCATGCCAATTCTTGCTATATTTACCGATGTAAATATTCATATCAGGGCATTTACGGAAATGATAACGTATGGCGCACAAAATATCAATGATAACGTACGGCGCATTTTTTACTTGGTGGATTTCTATTTTTCCAGTAAGCTGATAATGAATTATTTGTATGTAGGAAGTCATAGATATCTGAGAAAAAAAGTTTGTCAGGTCAGAAATAATTATTTTAACAATGCTGCACTATCGGGTATAAATATATTTCTAGCTGGTGGCATAATAGATATTCGATTTTAATATACCAATTAAAACACATGTGCACAGTTTAAGAATATTTTGTATAAATAGCAGAATGGAAAGAAAAGCGTCCACTTTCAGGAAACATTTGTGTATTGTTGCCTTCACATTAAATTTCCCCATTGTTGTGCGATAATTATGGTCTTTTCCCCTTATCAGAAAGAAGAAATGCATTCAGCAGAGCAAAAATGTTAAAAGGTACGGACGGCTTGATATATTTTCTTTTCCAAAGAAAAAGTCTAAGCTCATTCCTGTCAAATTTCTGATAAGGAAATCTTAATATTTGAACCGCGTGAATAATAAACAAAACAAGAAGTGATTGCGACTAGCTAGCATCCAGATGAGATGAGCCTGTGTTTATTCAATCTGGTCGCTCATTGAAAGAAAAATACATAATAGAGAATAACAAGTTAAATGTTGATGCTGCACATCAAAGACGCCGCAAAGTTATCGATTGGGGTTAAACAATTACCAAAATCCACCTAGTCTACAGCGTGGGTTCGATCCCCGGGAGATGCTTTGGTAGTTTAGCGCGGAGGAAGATAGTCTAGTACTGGTGTAACTCTCCAGGAACGATGGTTAGGAAACTACCCGCCTATATAACTGAAATACTGTTGGAAAAAGGCGTAAAATGAAACAAACAAACAAACAAAACCTAGTCTACAGTGTCAAGAAATACTCCTCGACTGGCCGAGGCATAGTTAAATGTTTGTAAACTAGATTTAAAATTTTCAATTTAACCCCTTTTTATTATTTTTAAAATGCAAGTTTACACTTATCCGTGTTTGTTGTAAAACATGTTCTATATTTTATTGATACAATGACTCCTAAATATAAGGAGGTACATGTACAGAGGCATCACTCGATTGAAAATGAATTACGGTAAATAAACGCATTGCGCTGACTATACCCTAATTTCCTCAACCGCAACTGTTCGGCCCTTTCTGTTGATATTGATAATAGCCAAGGATATTCCACTCGATAAACTCCTGCTTTAGAATATAGACTGGCTCATTGGTACGTTATTTTATTGGTAAATAATAGAAAAAAGATAGAAATAAAACAGAATGTTATATTGAAACATGAAAATATCACTTTTGTTAAACGTTTAGTTAATTCCATGTTAATATAAAATAATGTTATGCGAAAAACTTCCATAAATTTAGTAGATAAGAAATATGTTTATTTGACGGTCAGTTGATATTAAAACGCTACCATTTAGCGTGACGTTGTGCCACTATGACGTCAGATATATTTGAGCGACATAACCTTACGGTTTTTTTTATTATAGTAGACATTTTATTTTATTCCGAAAGGCTTTAAAAGCCGATGAGGACATTAAACATGCACATTAACGTACAGTGTATGGCATAAACAAATATACAAAATATCAAAAATCATGAAAATGTTTGGAGAAGATCAATTTTGATTGATAAAGTAATACTAGCCGAAATTTTCTTAAGTATAATGAACATAATGAACATTTTCATATCAAAGTTGACTTTAAACCACTAACTTATAGGTCTCTTGTATATTCATGTACACATACATACACACATAAGCATGTACATACATACAAAAACATACATTACATGAACCATTAATGCAAAATTGTTGTATATTAGTTAATTTTTAATACATAAACGCAATTACTATATGTTTATACACATATCCTAAAAATGAAGGTCCATTCGCATCAATAGCGGATTGTAAATGAAGGGATCGTCATTAATTGATGAAAACAACTACATGCAGGAACTTGCCTATCATATTCTGGCGTTTTTTCAACAAACGCCCAACAAAAACATAATTTCTTAAAGAAGTATTGTAGGCATCAGCAATCAAACAGTGACATTGGAATTTGCTTATTCAATTCTACTGGTAAACATTTTACCGACCATGAAATATAAAGTTTCAAATCGGATATGGATTTCGATGGGGTTTTTTTTCCATGAAAATTTACACAAAGAATTTTTAAGAAATACAGCGTTTTCATTGGCTTACAAATAAAGCTGGACACTAATTTAATTTATTTCAGTTTCTTTATTTGGTTCTTCACATCCTCTTATGTCTGATAAACATAGCTTTTCTATTATATAGAAAATCAATTAATCAGAAAATGCGCCGTACGTTATCATTGATATTTTGTGCACCATACGTTATCATTTCCGGAAAATGTCCCGATCTTAATATTGTCAGCGGTTATTCTAGATAGAATGGGCATGAATGCTTAGATGACGACATATTACAATTTTTAAAGTCAGTGGTTTCAGCTAATATACATATATGTAAACGAAACAGTGAATTTGAGAGAAGAAGCCGTACGTTACCACGATCAAACCGGTAGAAAATTCTATCGCTTCGAATCTGGTGACGCACATTTCAGATGAAGTACGGGATGAAACATCATGAAATAAAATACTGTGTGTCAGGAAAATTGTGGAGAAGGTTATTATCTGTTCCTTTACATTAGAATATCACGGATTTCAGAGAGAAAAAAGGAAAAACCTACTTTTTGGCTGCATCCGCCATCTTGTTTGTTTGGGTAACGAACGGCGTGATTCTCCCCCGTGGTGTAATACGATTATAAAAAATTCAAATGCAGCCTCATCGCACTTATATTTGTGATAAATCATGATGTACATCTTTCTTGCAATGATATAGATATTTTAGCACAAACGAGGACTCCTGTTTACTATATTGCTTAAAAGATTGTGTTAAACTCATGTGATTTTCTTCTGTAAATGTCAGGATATTTGCGCTCATAGCGACTTTGTTTCTATTTTAAGTAGAATGCAATCTTTTTTGTTTTTATAGCTTTTGATTAATTAACACTTTGTTGAATTATTTTTTATGTATTTTCACCTAAATATGTTTATAATTCTGTAAAGAAACATACGTTAATCTTTATCCATTTGAAGGAAACTTGTGTGTCTTGTGAAATGCAACCAGACGCAGCTTTTATGCTCCTAGTATTACTATCATCAGTCAGGTAAGGCTCGTAGTCTGTAACAGAAACATCATGAGAAAAGGATACCTACCGAAACTAATGTGTTCATTCAGAGAATGATTTATATAGAAAACTATAAATATTTTTGCAATACTTTAATGTGACAAAACATTTTTTAAAGGTGACAATATGAAGAGTTCAAGCAAACTGTCCAACATATCTCTGTTAACTGATAGTGCTTACTGCTACGATATTAATTATCAACCAAATTGAGAAGCTCTATATTTAGCCGGGTTTGTATCCCAGTGTTTTGCTCCCTTTCTCAACGTTATACATCTACGTTTTATGGTTTAGGGTGATGTAATGAAATGTGATATAATTTAAGTAACTAGTGAAAATTTTAATAGGGATTGTCATACTAATTGCATTTGAAGTAGTGTTATAATACATATACTGCTAACTTGTACCTTTCTTGGAAAAAGAGGATATATTTGTGCGTAAATAATTATTACCTCTGACACTCATTTTATAAGAATCAGTATTGGACCCATCCGAACAAATTAGCATTTTTCTGTTGAGCTCCATGGTTACCTTTAGTACTGTCAAGTCAAAATAGCCCTGTGCCATGTCAAACGTAATACTGTACTGTTCAACATAATCTGGATTTAAACTGCAAACTTGTTTTATACATTTTGCTATCGGTTTAATATCGTTTGCATATATCCACTCAATGGCAAATGTGTTCTTCCTAAAAGTGCACGACAGTGTTATGCTTTTTCCACACTCACATGTTTCATCAGCCCGATTGTCTTTCCTTTGAATATCGATATTTGCACCTGAGATCATATTTCAAAAACAGCATTGCAATTTTGATTTATATGTTAACAGAATAACACAAGGTTAAAAATGCAGCAGTTAAAATGAAGCAAACCTAGTATTAATAAGTAAATAAAAACAGTTAAACTTTTATCGGAACAGATTCTACGTTTAAACAATAAATACAATATTTTCTTTTTATTTACATAAAAACAACGTAAACAAAGAATGTTCAGAAAGGGCGAAATTCAATATAATTATAAATTAATTAAACGTTTCATAATTTGAGTGACGCACTTATTTTTCAGTACTGATATTTGATATTTCAACAGTTTATGAACATCAAAACGATATTGACATTTATATAACTTTTTAATATAGCCTAAAAAGTTAAAATGTCAGTTGAAAGTTATTATATCTATATTCAGTTAAATGTTGAATTGGTCTCTTAATTAATACCACCGTATTTTATGCGTTAACTTTATGGTATCGCTATGGTTATCACGAATGATATTCTTGGATGTTAATTGCATATGTTCTATAAGCATAATATTGTTTAGAGATAAAAAGTCTTCTTTGGTAGAAAAAATGATGTCTAAATAGAACAGAACAGAACAGAACAATATTAATCAAATATTGTTCAAAAGTTATTGTTTTCAAAGGAAAACCTAGAATGCAGACTATTATTTGCTCTTGCACGCACATATGCACACAGGCAATCGAAACGTCAAAGTGAAAAACTTTTCAAAACATTTAAGAATACGGGAAATATGCCCTTAAACTAAAGCTATTCTTGTTGATTTTCTGTGAACATTCAAAAGCGTACTTTGGATTCCACAAGTCATTGACACTTACAAAACTCAATTTGGCCGTCTGGGCAACAAAATAAGTATGGGTGTCGACATGAAAACCACTTTATGGACGAATTGTAGCTATCTCTGTTTTTACGAGTATGATTTATCATCAGTTCTTAGCGCTGTGTGTGAGACTATTTGTCATAAAAGTAGTAAAAACAGTAAACATTTAGTTGTACTTTGACTTTGTTACAAAATATATTCACTATTTTTGTAGTTAATCAACAAAAAGCAACAGAGACAAAACATGGTTTTTAGAAAATAGTAGCCTTTAGATTTTAAGAAACTCTACTGAGGTCAAAACGCCTAAAAATAAGTGAGAGAAATATCTGAAAGTGAGAGAAATATCTGAAATATTGGTCTAGGCCTACACTTAATGGAACATTGTCTCACTTAATTAGTTCCAGCCTCGTCATGTAAAAAAACAGTGGTTTCCCTTTTATGGGACTTTAAAATAGCATATCCCCGAAGTCATATTATCGTTGTTACGAATTTACTGATATCAGTCATCTGTGACGATGACATTTTTTTTGGTCACAAACGCTATCATTTCTTTGTGGATAATGTTGATTATGTTGTTAACATGTTTGAACACAGTAATTGATTATAAACAATTTACGTATGTATTATTACAATATTTTAAATATTTTCAACATTGTTATATTAAAACTCAATGATTGTCCTTAGTAAGGTGAAAATGTATTATTCTATGATAGTAAATTTTTAAAGTAATGATGGAGTATTTTCTCATACCTGTTAACAAGAAAGAAGTTAAACCTGCTGCCAGTGACAATGATACGATGAACAACATCTTATTCTGAAAAAATACGAGTCTGGTGTAAATGTCTCAGTTAAATCATAATCATTTATATTCACATACAATATTTGTAATATACAAGTCTAATATCACATTAGACATCTTTAGACCTGGTTAACATCGTTATTGCCATACGATAACTGCTTTTTATATCTAACAACATTACAATTCTTTATTTGGTAAATTTTTAAAGTCAAAAACTATACTTTTCTTGATACAATGAGGTGACAAAAACTTGAATAAAAGTACAATGGGTCTCAAATAGCAATTTATTAACATAAGAGTAGGTTAAACTAACGAACAATGAACCAATAGTTAATAATCTTACATTAAATGTGAGGTTTGTATACTTTTAAGTATCAAGTTAGTATGTGGAGAGATAAAACTTCTTTGTATATTTATCCAACCAATGAGTAAAACAAAATATATTTTGTATTTAAGCTTTTGAAAGACGATACAATTTAACTTTATTTTCTTCTTTTACATACAAACATTATAACATATCTTGAAATTCACAAAGACATACAATCGTTTATAAATTTATATAAGTTCTCAAAGACATACAATACAGTATTTTCTAAATTCATATAGACAAGTCATTTGACATTTTCAGGGATAAATATTGGAGCTTTTTTTCTGTTTTAACATACAGTATAGAAATATAGTATTTATTTTTTTTTTAGTATATAATAAAATCCAAATAAATGATATTATTAATGTAGTAATTTCTATTTTTCCTTTCTATTTCGGTTTATTTATACTCGGCGCCGGAAATTCCATATGTCCGAGAATTTAGCATCCTTGCCGGTCCACTAAGGTAGTCTCATCGGGGACGTCTTTGTCAAGCTGAATCTTCCTGTAGCCCATTCTTCGTTCGTTGGTGGTAGAGGAGTACGACAATACTGGCCAGGCATCATGTTCCTTACTGACGATAACAGTAGTAATCTCTTTTTATCAACTTGTTTAAATATGCAGTTTAAATACACGGGGGAC